GGCATCGCTGGGCCCCTGTGGTCCACTAAATGCATCGTGTGTGGGTGGTCACTCGCATGCCCTGCCGTGGTGGTCACTAGCATTCCTGCGTGTGGTCGACTAGCATCTGTTGCGTGCGCGGTGGTCACTAGCATCGTGCGTTGGGGTCAACTAAGCATCGTGGCGTTGTGTGCACTAGCATCTTGCGCTGTGGTCACTAGCTTGTTGTGCGGCGTGTGGGTCTACTAGCATCCTGCGTGTGTCACTCGGCATCCTGCGCGGTTGGTCACTAGCGTTGTGCGTGTGGTCACTAGCATGTCCTGCGCTGTGGTCAGCTACACCTAGCGCTGTGGTCACTATGCAATTGCGCTGCGCTGTGGTCACGTAGCATCGGGCTTTGGTTCACGTAGCATCGCTGCGCGTGGTCCTTATGCGATTCCTTAGCGTGTGGTCACTAGCATCCTGCGTGTGGTCACGTAGCATCGTGCGTGTTGTTGACTAAGCATCGCTGCGTGGTGGGTCACTAGCATCGTGCGTTGTGGTTACAGCCATTCGTGCGGTGGTGGTTACGCTAGCATCGCTGCGTGTGGTGTCACTAGCATCCTGTGCGCCTGTGGTCCCTTAGCGTGCCTGTCGTTGTACTAGCATCCTGCGCGTGTCACTAGCGTTGGCGGCTGGTCAGCTAGCAATCCTGCGTGTGGTCACAGCAGTCCTGCAGCGTGGTCCCTAGCATCGCCCTGCCGTTGTGGTCACTAGCATCGGTGCGGTGGTCACGTAGCATCCCTCGACGCGTGGTCACTAGCATGTTTCCTGCGCGTGGTCACCTAGCATCCTGCGGTGGGTCACTAGCATCGTGCGTGTGTCAAACTAGCATTCTGTGCGTGTTGTTACTAGGCATTCTCTGGCGTGTGGTCACTAGCAATCCGTGCGTCGTGGTCACTAGCGTCCTGTCGTGTGGTCACTACACTCGTGCGCGATGTGTCACGTAGCGTCCTCTGCGGTGGTCACGTAGCATCCTGCGCGTGTTCACCTAGCGTTGTCGTGTGGTCACTATCATCCTGCGTGTTGGTCACTAAGCACTCCTGCGCGGTCACTAGCATCCTGCGCGTGGTCACTAGCATCCGGCGTGTGTCACTAAGCATCGTGCGTGTGGTCACTTAAGCATCGTGGCCGTGTGTCACGTAGCCATCCTGGCGTGTGGTCGACTAGCAATGTCCTGCGGTTGTGGTCACTACTGTCCTGCGCGTGTCAGCTAGGTCCTGCGGGCGTGTCAACTTAGCTCGGGCGGTTCATTGGTAACCGTCGTGGTGTGTCACTGCATCCGTGCGTTGTGTCACTAAAACACAACAGCATCCGCCCCCCGCTGTGTGTCACTCGCATCTGCGCGGTGGTCACGTAGCATCCTGCGTGTGGTCAACAGCTATCGTGCGTGTGGTCAGCTAGCAATCGTGCGTGGTGTCACTAGCGGTCTCTGCGCTGTGCTCTACTAGGCATCGTGCGTGTGTCACTACATCGCGCGTGTGTGTTTACGTAGCACCCTGCGCGTGGTCAGCTGTAGCGTTGGTGCGTGTGTCACTAGCGTCTGTGCGTGTAGGTCACTAAGCGTTGTGCTGTGTCACTAACATCCTGCGTGTGGTCACTAGCGTCGTGTGTGTCCACTAGCATCCTGCGTGTAGTCACTAGCATCGTTTCGTGGTGCACTAGCATTTCTGCGGCGTGTCACTACCGTCGTTGTGGTCACTACATCGCGTGGAGTCACAGCTATCGTGTAGTGTGGTCACTATACCGTCTGGTTATCGTTCGCGCGGTCCACATGGTGGAGGGCAGCATCATGAGCCGGCGCAACATCAAGCTGGCGCTGCCAAAAACCCGACATCGTAAGGAGCCTGTGCGATGGCGTGCTGGTGCCTGCAGCCGCAGGACATCCCCTGCAATCTCTCAGCCGTGCCTCGTCTCCTCGATGCCTGACGATCTCGCGTGGCGTCATGCGGAGCTCGTTCAACCGTCGACGAGCGATGACGCCCTCAATTCGCTGCCCGCTGTCGACTGCCGCAGGGACCGCCTCCTGCACGTCACATACTCGTGTTCCCCGACCTCCGCCACCATGACGCAGGTACGTACGGCGCGCACATACGTCCGTGTTCACCAGACCTCCGCCACCGACGCAGGTACTACTCGCGCGACCACGCACAACTCGTGTCCCTGACCTCCGCCACCACACCCGCAGGACGTACGCACCGCACGCACATACTCGTTGTTCCGACCTCACGCCACCACGGCAGTACGTACCAGCGCACGTGACATACCTCGTGTTCCCGACCTCGCGCCACCACGCAGGTACGTATCGCACCACGGCACATACTTCGTGTTCCCGACCTCCGCACACACGCAGGTAGCGTACGCGCTACGCACTGCACATACTCGTGTTCCGACCGCCCGCCACCACGCAGGACGTACGCACGCACAGCACGCCCATAACTCGTGTTCCCGACATCTCGCCACAACGCAGGTAGTTACGCACGCAGTTCGCAGCATACTGCGGTCCCGACACCCGCCACGGACGCAGGTATCGTACGCGCTGCGGACCCGCACATACTCGTGTTCCCGGCGACCTCCGCACACCACACAGGTACGTACGCACGCGCCAGTGCGCAGCATACTCGGGTTCCGGACCTCTCGCCACCTGACGCAGGATCGTACGTCGCGCACGCACACTGACTCGTGTTCCCGGACCTCCCCACCACACAGGTACGCCCGCGCGACTGCATCCATGCCGTGTTCCGCCGACCTCTCGCCACCACACAAGGTACGTACGCGACGGGCACCGCACATACTCCGTGTGTCCCGACCTCACGCCACCACCATGGTTCCTACGCGCGCAACGCACATACTCGTGTTCCCGACCTCCGCACCATGCCCAGGTACGTAACGCCGCGGCACACAATACACGTGGTTCCCGACCGTCCGCCACATGCAGTAGCGTCCCGCCGCGCACCCGCACTATACTCGTTGTTCCCCGACTCCGCCCACCCACGCAGGTACGTACGCTGCGCGCGGACGCACATACCTCGTGGTTCCCGACTCCGCCACCATTGCAGTAGCGTACGCGCGCACAAACACTATACTGTGTTCCCCGACCTCCGCGCCCCACGCACGTACGTACCGCGCGCACGCACATACTCGTGTTCCCTGGGACCTCCGCCACGACGCAGGTCCGTACGCCGCGCACCGCACGATACTCGTGTCCGCCTCCGCCACCACGCAGGTACGCGCGCACGGCAACGCACGCACCCTACTGTGTTCCCGACCTCCGCCACACGCAGGTACGTACCCCCGCACCGCACACGCACATACTCGTGTTCCTGACCGCCGCCACCAGCCAGGTACGTACGCGCACGCACGCACATACCCTCGTGTTCCCGACCTCCGCCACCCACACAGTGTAGTCGCAGCACGCACATACTCGTGTTCCCGACGCTCCGGCCACCGGACGCAGAACTACGCGCGCACTGCACATTACTCGTGTTCCCGACCTCCGCACCACGGCCAGGTACGTACGCACTGCACGCACATACTCGTGTTCTCCCCGACTCCCGCCACACCCAGGTACTACGCGCAGCACTGCGACATGCTCGTGTCCATCCGACCTCCGCCACCACACAGGTACGTACGCCGCAGACCGGCACATGAGTGGTCGGGTGAAGGCGGTGTGGAACGGTGTGAGTGTGGAGTGGGTCAGACGTCAAAAGAATATGCAAACCGACGTTTAAAGCAGGTTGAGGGTTGCTTTACGTACGCCGCTGTGCACATGCTTGCCGGTTTGCAAGGCAAGGTCCTTGTGGTTTAGACAGTCGTAGAAAGCAAGGTTGAGGGTGTAAAAAATCCCTTGGAAACAAAGGTTGAATTAAGAAGAGAGTCGTGGAAACAAGGTTTTTGGGTTTAAAAGTGCTTTAGAAAACAAGCTTGGGGTTAGAAAGGTCGCCGAAACAATGTTGGGGGTTTAAAAAAAAGTCTGGAAACAATTGGGTGGTGTAAAAAAAGTCCTGAAAACAGGTTGATTTAAATAAAAATCGTAGAAACAAGATTCGGGGTGTTTGCGCCGCCACTGCCACGTCATTTTCCGATCGTTGCGATCTAGTTTGACATGGCGTGTTGCTATGCGCGCGTTGTGTTGCAACGTGCTGTGTGTTGGCAAGGCGCCGGCGAACGGCCCCCGTTCCTACGGTGACAGCGGCGATCGACAACCTCGCGTGGACTATTTCACGAGTCTAATGCACGATGACATCGCTGCGACATGCGCACATCTTCAACATCACCGGACACCGACCTCGTCTCCCCCGGGTACCCAGGTGCCGCGCCGGTCACCACAAGTCCGCGCCGACTCGCCCAGCGATGGGGGAGCCGTCGGGCTTCTCCTCGGAGGTCTGTCCAAGGTGAGCAATCGGCGCGTTGGTGGCGCCTCGTCAGGCCGAGGCGTCGTGCGCAACAGCTAGGTGTCTGCATGTCCAGGAGAGTGGACGGAGTAGAAATTAAGATGCAAAGCGTGGTAGTCCGATCGATCTGCGTCTCTGTTTGTCGTCGGCAGAACTTTCGAGTGAGTGAGGTAGTTGTGATTACCAGGACCACGCGAAGGACGCTAGTGACCACGCGAAGGACGCTAGTGACCACGCGAAGGACGCTAGTGACCACACACACGATGCTAGTGACCACGCGAAGGACGCTAGTGACCACACACACGATGCTAGTGACCACGCGAAGGACGCTAGTGACCACGCGAAGGACGCTAGTGACCACACACACGATGCTAGTGACCACACGCACAATGCTAGTAACCACACACACGATGCTAGTGACCACGCGAAGGACGCTAGTAACCACACACACGATGCTAGTGACCACGCGAAGGACGCTAGTGACCACACACACGATGCTAGTGACCACGCGAAGGACGCTAGTGACCACGCGCACGATGCTAGTGACCACGCGAAGGACGCTAGTGACCACGCGAACACACATAGACATCAACCTACGATAATAACACACAACAACAATGACAGCTATATATGCTCCATCACGACCACAGCCGCGTACAGTGACCATGCAAACCCAGAACAAGAAACCCATGTGTACACTTGACAACAATTCTTACGCTCAGCCCCCAGCAACGAAAACACAGATGTTCCGTGACCACCGCAAATACAAAACAATAACCATAACTTCGCCCGCTAGCAAGACCTGTTCTTGTGCGCGTGACAGCCGTGCGACCTCTCCGCGACCTCACGTCTGACTCACCCATGAGTTCTCCGTGGCCGATGCGGCCAAACCTGCCAATGACGAGTCGCCATGGCGACGAGCTCATCGACATCACGCCCAGCAGGAAGTCCCAGAGCTTGCGAAGTCCGATGCGCCTTGCCGACGCCTTTTTCCTCCTGCCTCTGCGTAGTACAGCCGATGAGACTTGGGTGAACCGCCGCTCGTTAATTTTCGCATAATTTTCGCAAAATCGTTAACCCGCTCAAACATTAACGTTATATATACAAAATGCAGTTGTGACCAAAAACTGTTGGCTAAACTAGTGAAAGAGAAAAACTCAGCAGTCCTAATCTGGGTCAATCAGGCAGGGTCAACCTATAGAGGGTTCCGCAACCTACACACGACCCCTCTTTACCGCTTTATATTACACTCTGCAAGTTTAGCGGATCGCGCGAAAAGGGCGGCACCGCCGAAAACCACGAGCAGACACATCGCGTTCCGCCCGCCACCCACAGAGGGCGCCACTACGAACCTGTTCGGAATCTCGATGTTGATGACGGTCGTTTCGAGCAGCTCGCCGCGGTCGTCCGTGCAGACGGCCAGCAGGTGGCGCTGGTCGTACGTGAGGCAGTACTCGCAGAAGAGCACCGTACATTTCTCGACGGCCTCGCCGAACGACTCACCGAGCTCAGTCTGCTTGTCCTTTGCCGGCGCGAGGATGTAGGGAGGCCGGAACATCGCCATCACCTGCTTCTGTAGTAACAAGCAGGTCGTTAGAGCCGCCAGAGAGCTCGTTAGAGCTTTCACGTGCATGCACGGGTGTTGTAATACGTGCACCTAATGTGTAAGCATCTACGTGGAGTTAATTACGCACGTATATTCACTTTACTTACATCTACGTGGACTTTACGCACGTATATTCACTTTACTTACATCTACGTGGACTTTACGCACATATATTCACTTTACTTACATCTACGTGGACTTTACGCACGTATATTCACTTTACTTACATCTACGTGGACTTTACGCACATATATTTACT